TTTGTAGTTAATTTTATTACGGAGGAAACTCGTTAAATTTGAATTATTAAAACAATTAATTTTTAACAATACGTTAAAAATAATATGTTATAAAATTTTCACTGTACACGGTTAAATACACACTTATTATGTTTTATGAGAGATGAGAGTAATGTGTATAGTATAATAAACTATTATAATATTATTATAATACTTAAAATCTATAGGTAGGTACTAGGTAGCAAAAATTAATGCAATTTAATTATTATTCTTTCTCTATTGTATGGTCTGAAACTGTATTTCGCTGTTGAAATCTCAAATATATACATGCAAATGAATTATGAAACCGGTAATTTGTAATGCATTCATAATTTAATTAAATCTAAATAATTTCGAAATAAAATAAAATAGTTTTATTTAAAAATACATGAATATTATATAATTATAGCAAACTGTATTGCCCCGTGAGAAGATAACAAAAATAAAAATTAGATAACAATAAATTGGACGGAAAATAAAACTGATTTACTATGAAACAATGAACTATTATTATGACAAGAAATTGATAAGTTTAAAAATATATAAAATATCTTTAAAAATAAACTACAATAATAAATAGAAACATTCTATAACGTACGAGTTGTTAAAGTATGTTTTTTGTTATTTTCCGTTAGGTGTAATATATAATCTACTGAATACAATAATATGAAAGTTTTTTTTTAACAAAAGTGTTACCACTTTTTATAAACTAAAAATTGTCCAGTTTAGACATTAGTATGTTAGGTTAGTAGAAGTTACTTCATACAATTTTTAAATACTCCATATACATAATACATATACGGCAGAAAAAGTACTAAGACACTTTTCAAATAGACTATAAATAAGACAAGTAATAATCGCACAGATCACGGTTGGATCATAGTATAATGTAATATTAATATGGAATAATCTGCCACGAGTATTGGGTGTAAAAAAAATTATGTGGTGTGCCTGAGGTTTTCTGTTTAGAAAACCATTTACAATAGTTGTAATAATTTATCATAAATATCAATCACCACGGTAGATTATAATCATCATAATTTATTATAATTATTATAATCTAACGTGTCAATCACATTATGATTATTTACTTATTTCCTAAGGTCGGCGTGGTCTATAGGCAATTTCGGTACATCAGCGTGTAGATGGCTTTTGCATCCAGTGGTATTAAAAAATGTTTTAGTGAGATCTTGCAATAATTATTCTAATATAATTCTAATGCATTCGTTATACATTCAATAGAAACTATACTGTAGTCTAAAAAAAAGTCTTGTGATTTCTATAAATTAAAATCGGGCACCATTTAAAACCAAAAAAGTATCTTTTTACTTTTTAAAACTTCTGCCAAGTAAGGAGTCAAAATTACTACTATTAAAAAATATATATACCCATGTTAAATTATCTTATATGTAATCTCATTAAACTGTCGTATTGTTAACGATAAAATTAAAACAATAAACAGTACATCGGGAGTCAATTCCTATACAAGTAAACCGTTTACCTTACATTTAGTGGTCAAATTATAGATAGGTCTTAGATCTCCATTTAAATGACAACGTTTACCTAAAAATTGGAAAATTAGGTAATGAATCAGTATAGGTTATGCGTTAGGTTAGAAATCCATAGTAGAGGACTTTCTTCCTTCATTTCCGAGCCTGGTAGATAATTTTACTCATTTTAACAACCAAATCAATAAATAGGTAGTTAAGTTCGATCGTTAAGATAACATATAGTGGTATAATTATAACTATACTTTTTATGAAGTTAAATTGTACTAACATTTTTATTTAATTAGACTATCCTAGAAGTTTGTAGTACACTTATACCATAAAGGTATACGTTATAACAAATGATTATATACTGCTCACTACATAGCTGAGTCAAAGCTACTGATTGGAGCCTGAGCAAGGTTAAAGCTCAAATGTATGTAGAATTGACTAAGTACTCAAAATAACCTTTAAGTACGCTTTATAATGTATATGCGGAAGCACTTGTGTACACCTTAATTATAAAAATATAATTTACTTACTTTTGACTTGAATCACTTGATTGTGTGTTAAAGTGTAGTTATACTTTTTTTGCAAAAGTCTGCTCATTGTCATATTTTATACCATCACTGTCACTCATATTTTTTTGTTAGAGTTAAAAAAAATACACTAAGTCGTACGCCCGGTATAAATAAAATAGTATAGCAAGGTTAGGTTAGGTACCTAATAAGTGATACCAGCGGTAACTATCAGGTATAATTATTATTTAATTTAGTAGTAGCAAGTTATAGACGGAAGTGACGGTGTAGTAACGTAAGCGGGTTAGGTTATAAATGAGGTAAAACCTGAAATGGGCTTTAAGCGTTATGGCTCGTTCCATGTCGATCCAATCGCATAGTGATCCAATCGCACATTTTTTTAGTACTGTTTAATAACCAGGTTGTAACTTAAGATTTTATACGGAGTATAAGCTAGGTCTATACCAAGAATTGACTCTTTTTTGTCGGATTTTCACTATATACGTTCGCTTAAATTGTTTGCTGTGATTGGTTGGTTAGCTTAAGTTACCACACGATTAACCACGTTACCTTGTAGTTGGATATTGCTGAACATTTTTCGTGTACACGGCACCCGTGAAGTGGAAACCTGCCTTTAAAGGTGGATTCACACTAATCAGTAATCACACTGCTCCGTGATCTCGTGAACTGTGATTTCCGGAAAAAATAACAAGCCATTTCTCAAAAAATAATATATTTTTTCATTTTTGTGTTGAGCATAATGGTAAGTGGTAAGTGGTAACTGGTTTACAGGTTTACTGTTATCACAATCATAAAAATATATTAATAACTTAATAACTTAAAAATATAATTTTTTTCATAACTAGTAACCACGTAATTGTAAACATTGGACTTAAATAGGATTGAATCCTTATGTTTTGTACTATTCAAACATGTATTTAGAGTATTGATAGTGATTCTAGTCATACAGTTTGTAGACCAAGACAGAGATAATTCTGAACAGATTTCCTCTGATATCTTCAATGTTAATGCCGAGGTTAATCCAGACTATTCAAATTCAAATTGCAGTCTTCCATGTTCCATCAACTTCCTATTTTAGTTCTTCAAATTCGACGCCTATTATCTTTATAAAAAAAGGGTTCGTAGGTCTAATGTCGCATCAGCTCAGTGACGCCGATCCCTTATCTATCTGTTGCTACCACAACACAATATATTTAGGTGGGTATTTTTGATGGGTAGACGGGTTGGATTACTTGGATTAGATGTTTCAAATGTTACACAAAACAAATATATAATATGTGTACACAATTGATTATGATGTACATTAATGTTCCGTGGTGAATAATGATACCAATATTACTAAAGAGCACGGTCTTAGAAGATCTTCTAAGACCGTGCTAAAGGCCTAAAGAGTAAAGCTGTTATTTAGTATTTAATTTTCTTTTGTTTGTTTGCAAAGTGTACATTATACAGTATACGCTATATGCCTATATAGTATATACCACGGCCAAAGCGAAATCCCCCTTGACAAAAACTTTAGATAAAATCACATAATAATACAAAGCCGTGTTATATACCATAAACAGTAAAATAAAAATATCTATGACATACCCACGATTGACACGACTTAGATCATATACACTAATATGATTTTAGGACACGACTATGGACTTACCTAATATATCCACGTTTGTTGTTATGATAATGATAGGTATCAGAAATGTGGATGAGAGTTGAATGATGATCAGCTTGTACAATAATACGTCGGATAGACAAACATCGAAGTGATCTTATTACGCGGGCAACATGTAATATGATTTACGAAGATATAATTCCAATTAATACAGTAGAGCATACTGGATTTGAATATTAATGAATGTAATGAAATTTCAGGCGTGTACACAATGGGGGTAGGGGTTCAACCTCCCCCAAAATGTCAGGAATATTATTAAGTATATTTTTATAGAGTAAAAGTGGAAAAATGTTCAACCTAAAACGGCCAAAATCCTTCCTAAAATAATTTTTTTGTGTACGCACCTGTGAAACCTAGTTATGTGATACCATGAATCCAAAGGAAGTAACATCAAATATCTTATGATAAATTACGTATGCCAAATTTAAACACGTACTGTACTGTTTAGCTGTAATAACTTAATCAATATAAACATAAAATGATATTTAAATACTAGCAGCAATGTTACTTTGGTATAGACAATTGTACATACTACAGTGGATAGCTAAACATTTCTAATCTAGAGGAAAATAGACAATTTACCACCCTTCTCCAGCCCATTTTTCATTGCAGTATTTAACCCTCGTTCATTTTTAAACAATTTTTTTTTTTCGTTTCGTGTCTAATTTTGTCAAAAGACAGGATAAGTTTGCAAATATTTCCATACTATTAAAATAATAAAGTATTGCTTAAGATGAGTATTATAATAATCAAAATATTTTACAAAAACCCCCATTGCGATGAAGCATCAGTGCAATAATTACCAGACAGCTCTGTTTTTCCAAATTTTACAGAAGCAGAATGTTTTTAAATAAAAAAAAATCTAGCAAAATAGAAAGTTTATTTTGAACTTTAGAAGTTGTTGTTTAAGTGTATACTTTCAAGTTAATTTATAAAATTAAATCTTGAAAATTAATTTTAAGCAGCATAATATTTCCAGTGTATTTAATTTTTTTTATTATATTCATGTTTTAAATAATTGTTGGGAACAATACATTTTTTATTTCTTTACTTAATATAAAAAAAGTTTTTTTAAATTTATATTCACTCAAATTCTGAAGAATAATATTATAGTCTGTGTACTCTGTTAAGAGCATGCACCAGTTAACATAGGAAAAAACAGATTTTATATGTCAAACCATATTCACCAGGAATATAGAGACAGTGAGTACCAACGTCCTACGTAGTTAAGTTACATACTTACAAATTATAATCAATTAAAAAAATGATTGAATAATACACTAATAACATTTTCACAAATTTATTTTACAACATTAAGCTTCAGCAGCATGATATTTAACTAGTTTATATAAAACACAAATTATTGTATACATTATTGTTGTTCTGAAATAATACATAAATGTGTCTTGAAGGAAGATTTTTTTCTAAATTACTGCCACAGGAGACTGAAAATTAATATTTTATAAAAAATCATTATTATTATTGAACAAAAAACATAATTTTATGTTCACTTATAAAATATACCATAAAGAAATTAATCAATGTAAAAGAAAATATTACCTTAAAAGTCCGAATGCTGGGCCACCAACTTCTGGTCCTTTTTTGAAACCTTTAAAATGTCATAATAATAAGTACCCAACTTAAATATTTATTTACTAAATGTGATAGTAACAAACATAATATTATATTATTATTTATGAAAACATATTATAATTTTATTTTAACCTTAAATTTTTATTCTCCTTAACCCAGAACAATATAACCATAAGAAGTACTATACAACTTAATGAAACATCATGACAATTGTTAAGTCTATTATAGTTCAAAATGTTATGATTTGTACTATAAAAACAACATACCCATGTATATAACAAATGGAATAAAGGCAACATGGTAAGAAGTTTTAACAAACTCAGTGACAGCCTCCATTCGCGATTTTATTCCTGGTTTTAATAATCCCATTTTGGTTTATTTTATAATTTTACTATTATAGTATGTAAAATGTTATTGTAAAAATACAAGCACTGCACAATGTAGTTTCGACTATGACATAAGGTTCTTCTTCTTCAAGTTTCAATCACGATTGAAGATTATCTTCTAATCTTCTAATATTAAAATAATACGTCAATACGATGTACAGTATCGTTCCTGACATCAACCCGTAGAGCTGTGATTCAACCAAGGTTTAGGTAAGACGCTAGATTAAAAATGATAACGAATTACAACTGATTATAAACCCCCGAAAACGTATAGCTGATAAATGATAATAATTAATAATATAACTTTATAAAATTATAAATACATAAGAATTAATAACATTATATTATATTATTCAATATATTATTGTAAATTATCATTTGAAATAGTAATTATAAGTAGTCAATTATTGTTTATTATACTAAAAGCTAAAAAGTAAAAACTTATTCTACTAAAAATGTCTGACGATGAAATGGAAAAATTTGAAATTACTGATTTTGATTTGGACAATGAATTTAATATGAACAGACCCCAAAGACGACTAACCAAAAATCAAGCAATTTACGGTATATTATCCTATTAATCACCTATTTTTATAACTAATAATTAACATAAAATAAACAGCTTATAATGAAATAATTTATTTTATTTTTTAAACGTCCAATACAAATAAATATTTCTTTAAGACAATTAATCTTGTTGAATATGAATTAAAAATCATATTATATTCACTGATAGGTGATTTGTTTAATTTGCAAACTACTGATGTAGAATCTAAAAATGGTCTCACGCAAACCAGAGTGAAAAAAATCCCACAGGGATAATTTTTCATCAGTTTGGACTAGAACGTTGTGCATTAAATTTTTTTTGGTGGACCAAGAATTGTAAATTATGATTTATGTTATTTTTTTTATATTATTTAAAGGTTTTTTATTTTCATTATTATCTAAGATTATATTATAAATATTTATGCTGAAGATATTTAATTTTGCTTTAAATATTTTGGCTTTGGTTAGTTTTGTAGTTAACAAAATTAGTCTTGTGGATAAACCAATTTTTCAGTAATTTTGCATTAATTGTGAATGAATATTGGCTCATCAACAGGTATATTAGGTAACATACAACTCTTTATGTTTAATGTTGATTAATGTTTTTTTTTTTTTTAAATGGAGATAATAAAATACAGCAATAATACATAACGTATTCTTATAAATAATTATACTAATGGAACCATTTTTGATCACTTATGGACAAAAAACTAAAAACTAAATTAACATTTTCAAAATTAAAGAAACTCAAAATATTTTTATAAATACTAAAATTTGACAAATACATAATTAATTGTTCTATGCAATTATGCAATATACCTATATAAATACTGCCTTGTTTTTAATATTATTTAGATATATAATTCATACATTATTTTTATGTATAGCATTTTTTGAATACATAAAGCAACTAAAAGTAAAATATATATTCTGTAAAATTATGGTATTTTATAGATAAATATAAACCCCATATAAATTAATTTTGTATTATATTATACATTTATTATTTAGGAATTTGGGCTGATGAAGAAGGTAATGATAGTGACGATGAACCTTCAGGTTTTGGAGGCCGTAGAAACAAAGATAAGAAATATAAACAAAACTACACTGCGCCAGTTTCATTTGTGGCTGGAGGAGTTCAACAGGCTGGCAAAGATAAAAAAGAAATTAAACCCGAAGAAAAAAAAGGCATTGAGTCACACCATTTGGAAGATAATATCTCCGCATCTAGGTTTGAAAGATGAATATTAAATAATAAATATATTTTTATTAATATATTATTACAGTGATGAAGAAAAACCAGCATTTAGTTTTGATATTGATCAAGAATTGGCAGGATTACGAAAGAAACGATCTCAAGTAAACTCAAGACTAATAAACAAAGGATTAGGAGATTGGGAAAAACATACAAAAGGAATTGGTGCAAAACTTTTGCTCGGAGTAATTTATAAATACCTTATTAATTAATTTTATCGTATTTTAACACAACTTATCATTTTATAGATGGGTTACCAACCTGGTCATGGTTTAGGAAAAAAACTTCAAGGTATTCTGGCTCCAATTGAAGCAAATTTAAGAAAAGGAAGAGGAGCAATTGGTAATAAATAATTATAAATTAATATATGTATTTTATGCTGACAATCAATCATTTTAATTTTAGGTGCATATGGTCCTGAGTCTAAAACTAAACCAATGAAAATAGATAAAATAGCAGAAAAATCAAAAGATAACAAAGTTCTCGTAAGTGGTTGGAGAAAAGCACTTAAAGCAGAAAAAGTTCAATATAATTATAAAACTGCTGAGGAAGTCATTGAAGAAAGCAAACAACCAGGGCAAAGAAAACGAGAATTCAAGTACAATTAATACACAATTTTTATTTTATTTTTGTTAACTTGTAATGGACATTTTTTCATGATGAAATCAACCTCCCAACCTAATTATATATTTATATGTATTGATAATAATGATTAACAAATCATACTATATCATAAGTTATATAATTATGAAATTTATTCTAATTTTTCAGTGAACTAAGTAGAGTAAAAGTAATTGATATGACTGGTCCAGAACAAAGAATTTTATCTGGATATCATGCTATATCGGGTGTTAAAAAGCCAATAGACCAGTGGGAAATTCGAAAAGATAAAAAATACTCAAATTTTGATCTACCTGAATTATTACACAATCTCAACCTATTAGTTGAAATAGCCGAACAAGTATACACAATTTCATCATTTTATTACTTATTTGATTTTGATATAATAAATACATTAAGTTTTATTTTTATTACAGAACATTATTACCAACAATCAAGAACTTTGTAATTCGGAGGATAGGCTTATTGTCATTGAACAAGAATCTAAAAAATTAGGAGAAAATATAAATGAAAAAAATAATGCAATTGAATCTCTTGAAAAAATGATAATAATCATGGAATCTATGAATGATGCATTAAAAAAAAATATGTTAGATAGTAGCCAAGCTATAAAACTTTGCACAGAAATGAAAGTAAGTTATGAAAATATTATGATAAATATTTTCTTTATCATGATGCTTAGTTGAGTCTTTTTTTGTTTAGGAAAATTACTACTCAGATTATCGGCTCAATGGTGGATCAGTTTTCGCTCTATCTATTTCTCAAATATTGATTAAAGAAATGCTTTCTACATGGGACCCATTACAAGATCCAACTATGCCTTTCAATGAACTCAATAAATGGAAAGAATTATTAACTTTAAATGAGCCATGTGCAGTTAATTTTCAAGCCAGTGATGAATTTCAAACATTAATTTGGCAGGAATGGGTACCTCAAGTTCAAAAAGCATGCAGGTAATTATAATATTGACTAAAGAAGAAGAAATGGTTTTTTTTCTAAACTCGTTAGTCATTATATGAGGTCACCAAATGACAGCCGAAATGCAGATTGTAATCAAACTTTATCTGGCTGGCAGTCAAGAAATAAATTTTTGATGATGAATTAAATTAAGTTTTCATTATATTTTTATTGTTCCCTTTCCTTCCTTTTTTGATAAACATGTAAAAAAACTTCTTAGATTCCTAAAGTGGCCGTCTAAATATATGAATTGGTGATCTTACTATTATATAAAGTCAAAGTTCTCCATGTAATATGAAATTTTCTGCATTTTTTATTTAGACGATGGAAATGTCGAGATTGTCACAGTATGTTGAAACTTATCGAACAGTCAACTGAATTGATACCATCAAACATAATTAATCAAGTTCTTGAAAATATGATTTTACCACAAATACAGCTGGAAGTGGAACAGTGGGATCCGTTGACTGATCTTGTACCAATCCATTTGTGGATTCACCCTTGGTTGCCATATTTAAGTAAGTCAAGTTCAATATTAATTATTAACTAGATTAAGAATTTCAAATAATATTATCATTTAATTGTTGACATAAATAGGTGAACATTTTGAAACAATTGTTTATCCTACATTGAGACAAAAATTAAGTGTAGCATTAAATGCTTGGCATCCATCTGACAACTCTGCTAAGTTGATGCTCCAACCATGGATAAAAGTGTTTCAGCAAGGCTACATGGAGGCTTTTCTAATAAACAATATTGTTCCTAAATTACAAGCTGCTCTACATACTTTTGTTATCAACCCACATCATCAACAATTGGGTAACTTTTGTTCAAAGTTTTAAAAATTATTTTTGCGATTTTAAAATTGTAAAAAAATTATATTTTTTTTAGACAATTGGAATTGGGTAAATGCATGGTCAGATGTATTACCATTACCCACATTAGTGGAATTGTTAGACCAACACTTTTTTCCAAATTGGCTTAAAACGCTTACTATGTGGATAAATATGAATCCTAACCATGAACAAATAAGTAACTGGTATACAGGATGGAAGTCTTTAATGCCTGCTGTTATTGTAGAACATCCAACTATTAAAGGGAGGTTTCATTCTGCTTTAGACATAATGAGCCGAGCAGTTGGAGGACCATCTATGCCACAACCACCTCCACCACCTACTATTCATGTAAATAATTTATATTATAAGATGGACAAACATAAGACAATTGTTTAGTTATTATGGAAAATCATCATAATTTTAAAGATTTTGATATGTAATTTACATTATTTGTTTTTAGGGTGGTCTAGCTGAAGCTGTACGTACCGCATCACAAATGCCACATGGCTTTAAAGAATTAGTGCAAAAGCGTTGTGAGGAACGGGGTATTTTATGGATGCCTATTTCAGGTCGGTTTAGAGAAGCTAAACAAGTATATAGATGTGGAGCACGGCTTCAAGCATTTATTGACCGTGGGGTTTTATTTGTTTGCCAAGATGGAATAAATTTTTCTCCAATGTCTGTACAATCAATGTTAGAACTATGTGAATAAAATATTTATTTTATTTACATTAATGATAAATTATTGAAAAAAATGTGTATAATTAAGTTATGAAGTATAAAATGTAAAATACATGAACTATTTTGTACAATATATGTTTTATGGATTTTCAATGAAAATGTATTACAAATACATAATATTACCATCACAACACAATTTTAAATTTAATATATTTTTTTACTATTCTTAAAATACATTTAA